ATTTAAAATGAAACTAAAAAGAGAAAAATTTTTCAAGTATTCAAAATTAGCCAAGTTTAAAAGTTGAAAGATTATTTTATTCGAAGTAATAGTTAAAGTAAATAAATAGATTAAACATATAACGCTTATATGCATTTCACTTCATTTTACACATTTTTAAAGGATATGAGAAATTTTTCTCAAATAAATCTTATCACAAAGAAATATTTAGCAAAAACGTGTAAACATAACAGACGCACTTCCTCACAATCATTCCTTTCTTTTTTTTTCCATTTCATTTTTCAAACTTCCCTGCAATGCAAACGTATGTCTGTCTCGTTATTGTCATGTACATTTCCTTATATATATATATGTATGTGTATGTGTGTGTGTACATTATGTACAGGTAAGGTGATGTTACATACAGGTATACTAATAGCAATTCTGTTTATTGTTAACAATCAATGTTAAGCGTTATCAGTTGCTATCAAAGTTGACAAAATATGCACATATGTATGTGCATATTTTGCATAAATGAATCAAAAAATACAATTACATTCAGCAATTCAGTAATGAAAAAGAATGATTCATATTTGAAAGTCGTAAAATCACGATAATTAATTTTTAATTACAAATTAATTAATTTAAATGCAACAGATGTTTTATTTTTCAATATAAATTTACAGATTTATGTCAATGTGAATGAGGTGCACACATTGAATTGCATAAAATTAAAGGATTATTTTTTGCATTTTTAAGTCCTAAATAAACTTAAAATAAATTCTCTTGGACTTAATTCCAATGGTATTATAAATGCATTGAGCTTCTGATTTAAAGAGAGCTACTTCATATATTTACAATGTTCGTTCTCATCATACAATAATCGAAAAAAAAATCTGAACTTTGCTCTCGCATCTTACTTTCCTAATCTTCCATTTCTCTAATACCAATACTATATTACTTTAACACATCATTGATCTATTATTTTAAATCATCTCATTCTACTTTTTTAATCTTTACACTCATTTCCATTTCTATATTATCAATTTAAAATGATTTCAGTGTAATTTCACATCTTATCGTTTCATGCAATAAATAAGCATGAAAAATTTGATCATATCTTATTTCCCATCTCATCTCCTTCAAGCTTTTCATTTATATATCCTCGATCATTTGTCGTTGCTGTGTTTTCCATCATCCATTACTACATTAGCCATGCTTTAAAATTTTACTCTTTAAAATCATTCATCTGTAAACTGATTCACTTATAGCGCTCACGAAATGATGAAAAGAATGTGACTCCTCTAAATATTATCACTCATACGTAATATCACTCTAAAAGATGGCGGGCGTTTTTGAATAGAGTAAAGTGAATCTAAGACTAAAGTCTTCATTACCTGAAATTGTATAATCAAAAACTCTTTGCGATACACACACACACACAAACAGACAGACAGATGCGTCGGAAGTAATGCTAGTTGAATTAGCATCAGTTATTGTGCTGAATTTAGAGATGTATTATGAAATGGAGATATGTATTGCAATCTTTTAAACTGATCCAATCGTATTTTTCAGTATCAAATTTTTAGCATTGATCATAATCCAACAATTTTTTTCCTCAATATTGAGTGAACATTGAAATATATGTAAATCATATTCTGTCACTTTTCATGAAAATGTTTAGCTATCAGTTTTACTCAAAATGAAAGATGAGAAAAATTTATTTGTTTACAAACTTTTCTCGTTAATTCTCCCCCCCCCCCCCAATTCTACTCTAACTATCATACTACATCCAATAAAACAAATTCAAGATTTACATTAGCAATGTAAAACTTTCTATTATTATATTATTTTCTAAAATTTTCATTTTTTCTTTTTTTTTGCCAAAATGAAATTTATTGAAGATATTTTAATTTAAGTACTAACTGGTATTTATAATATTATCATTGCTTTATAAACAAATTTTTCTGAAATTTTAGATGGAAGAAAAAAACTCAAATTTACTACTTTTACGCATTCAACTTGTTATCTGAATTCAAATTATATTTCCTTTTAATTCATTCAATTAATATAAGACATTTTCCAAAAACAACATACTACTTTTGTTAATTTGTTAGAGATTTTTAAAATAACAAGTATATTTCCTCTGTCTTTGTGTCTCTCTCTCTCTCTCTCCCTCTCTCTCTCTCTCTCTCTGTAAAGCATAAAAATTGGTGGTTTACTTGCAGCAATGGAACATTTTTAATATCCAAACATTCATTCATTTATTTAGCCAAATGCTAAAATCATTGATTCTTTTTACCGGGAATGAATGAGCACACTGCCATTCTCAACTTCCATGATGTCATTTCACTTTTGCAGCCATAGATAGCTTTCCTTGCTGCTACAATCATGATAACAACAATCGTCAAAGTATCATCGATAAGATAAATTAGTATGTGCTATTTTTATCATCGCTTCAATTGCCTTCCATTATTATTTTAAGTTTCTGAATGGATAAAGTTATAAGAATTCCCGAGAATACTGATTGGAAAGTAATGCTGAAAATATGCTAATAAAGCAAAATTGTTCAATCATTGCCATTCTCAATACATTAAAATCTTGCAAATTTATAAATGAAATTTTTTTTTTTGCTGCTGCACATTTGAAATAAGCTTGAAACTTTTAGAATATCTTTATGATGTAATTTAATTCATTCTTCCTTGATACCATAGCTTATTTTAATTTTTTTTTTAATTTTTGACAAAAATAAAGCATAAATTTGTCACCAATTTTTACCATTTTTCATTGATTACCCGAACATATCACTGTGCTCCGTATATCATTCGATGATTTAAATTTTCTCAAAAACAAATCCTAAGCCTTAATTTATTTGATAAATCAAATTGTCTAATAAAATGTCATCTGAGCAAAAAAAAACTAGCGGAATATCAATGTGGTGTCAAATAAGCCAATGCAGGATCGATAAAGCGACTACCATTTTCAGGCTTCTTAGCCATATTCTCCTTCTGGCCGCTTTCGTTTTTTCTTATATAACATTCAAGCTTTTTTTTTTGGTAAATTTGTATTCAAATTTTTAATTGCTTAAAAAAATCTTCGAAGTACTCTTTAAAATAATTGTATTTTTTTTTGAATTAGTTCTTTTAAAATTCGTCTTACTCATTCAATTTTACAAGTATTTTCGAAAAAAAAAAACAGGATGTATAAGTGATATAGTATTACTATGGTACTAAGAACGAATGAATATTCCTTCATTTTTTTTTTTTAAATCATTGGGGAATAAATTTTTAAAATACAATGAGAAGAAGTACATCAATTCATGCTCTATATAAATCTTTCAAAAATTCTAACTTTCAGTTAGTTCTCCTTACTAAACTTTACATTTTTATCTGACAAATGTGCATCAAAAAATGTCAAAATTCATTTTCTTTTTCCGTTCGCTTCACTCTTCTCCATATTTTACCTTATCGATACTTAATTTATCTTTTTTTTTTCATAAAATCAAATTTTATTCTACTACTATTTTAACAAAGTTTATGTAGATTTAGTCATTCTTTTACAATTTTATGACTTTGAAAGATGTTGAAATTGCTTTGAAAGATGATGTTTTGAATGGATTTGATAAATTGGAAGAGGAAAGGATGACAACAAGCGGTATTGTCATCTTTAGAATCTGCAAAGCATTAAAGCAAATGCTCGCATTCCAATTAACTTGCTTTCTATTTGTGTATGCATATATATACATATAGCTGGAAGCAAATTAATGGTTTCATGCATAACGCAATTTTGATTTTCTTTCTTTTCATACATTTTTGCAAAAACAATTAGCAAATTCTTTTTCAAATCCCGAGAATCAGAGAATATTTTGGTGGAGGAGAAAAGACAGAAATTTCTAATCTTTAATTCAAATTAGATTTCAATTTTAACTGAAAACATTTTGATAGATTTCTAGGTTATGCATGCTAAGTTATTTTAAATAAATCACTAAAACATACATTTATTTTCACGAAATATCATAAATGTTAGTAGTTAACATCTTATCTCACTTAATTCAAATAATAATTGTTAAAAATTTATACAGTTACAAGATTCATGTGTATATTTTCCAATTATTTTCATTATAATAATTTAGACAAATTGCAAAAAATATTATCGGTGGTAAAAGAAAATATATTGAATTGAAGTGATTTTTTTAATCATCTTTTGATAATGCATCGAAATGTTTTTATAAGAGTAAATCTTAATTCTCTAAAATTTTCTTTCAGGCAAATCGACAAGTGTCCTTATTTGTTACTACAATTAAAGCTGCCCATCAAAATAAGTGCTCAGCTGTGTATGCTTCCATTAAGTTGATTCATTTAAATCTTTCCATTTTTTTATCGATATCATCCAACATCACTATTTAATCGTTTTACTATCCAAACAGGATAGTTATGCATAAGACAGAAAAAGAATCTTCACTTTTAGCAAATATCACTGAATTATTCTTATTTCATACTAAACACTCCTATCATTATTATCATTATTATTGTACAAGAACTGTTATCACTGCTGCCATTACGATAATTCCATTATCACTGTCACCATCCAACTGCTATTACTACTTCTATCACTACCATTAGATAACACACACTGCCCTTTCAATTCTTTGCAATTTATAATTTTTCGCTATTTTTTTGTCCTTTTCAAATTTAATTCATTCTTAATGATCTGCTAATTTATAATTACAATAATTGACTCAGTGATTGACTGATTGATTGATGAAAATAAATACTTGTTATTATTGTTAGTGGTGGAAATTGATGGAATCTTGAATGATTAAAAAATTCTAATTAAATTAATTTATCTGAATTAGCAATCATTCCAAAAATTTCCTAAAAATTAAGAGAAATTTTGAAATAAAATAAAAGAGTAGAAGTGAATTCTTTAAAAAAAAAAAAAGAAAAAAGTGAGAAGTGAAAGGAAGAAAAAGTAAAAAAGGAAATTGGATGAAAGGATGATGAACGGTTGCTAAATGCGCTATGCAAGTTAGGAAAGGATGCTGCTATACGATATGGTTGTTAGGCGTTCTTCAACATCTCCGGAATGTTTGCAATGGTGCTATCCGACAAGCACATCCAATCGAGATTACTATCGATTCCGGTTCCATAAGAGGAGAATATTTGGTGAATGAAAATTTTCCATAAAATCTCATAAATTTATTATCAATTTTCTTGTTGCTATCTCTTTTGCGAAAAAAAAAAAAACGAATTAATTATATTTAAGTCTCTGTGCAAGTTTTTCATTAAGTTATTAATGTTTTTTGTTTCAAAGTTTTTATTTGCAAGTTAATATTGCTATTTTAATTTCTTTATAATTGCATTGCTAAATGTGATGAATGAATTTGAAGCAATAATAATAACAATATTCTTCGAACTAAATTAAGAATGGGAAAATTTTGTCATCGAATTTTATAAAAATGATAATTTTTTTTTTTTTGTAGACAATTGGTGCAAATGATTTTGCAGTTTTTAAAGGAATTCCATATGCTGCGCCGCCTGTTGGCTCACTTCGTTTTCAGGTAATTATTTCAAGTAATTATTCTAACGGGACAGTATTACTATTTAATATCAAATCAATCTTCAGATAGAACAGTAAATATATGAAAATATCCATTCAGTACAAAATTATTCATTTTAAAATAGCCTTGGAAAGCATTTATCTATTTACTAATTAAAGTCATGAAGTAGTCGGTTAAAAAAAAGTGAACTAAGAATTACAGTAATTATAGTAAAGGTTTAAAATTTCTTAATTTATTTAGTATTAAATGAAAAGTGAATTTATACTTGTTTCTCACGTATAAATTAGCATTCCATTCAATACCGTAAATAAATTAAATTTTGAAAAAAATTTTACAGAAATTGTTTTAATAATTTAGTTTGATCTGCTCACTCATTCACATTCACATTTGTTATCATTTATGTTTCTCTCCAAAACCATTCATCGTTTTGATTTCTATCGAGTTCCTTATATAACCATTTATGAAGCTTAATCATTCGATAAAGTTATCAGCATAAGGTTATCCTGTACGCTTAATTTCAAAATTTTCAAAAGCATTTTTATCAGAGGCGTATTTGTCCGGGACAAATGGATAATTTTATTATCAACATATCATTCATACATGAAAACAATTGTTGCTATTTTTAGATGCCTGAACCACCAGCAAAATGGCGTGGTGTAATGAATGCTACTCAATATTCGGCCATGTGCGCACAAAAACCTCGAACTCGTCAAACCGATCCTATCAATATTTATCGAATTCACATTTCCGAAGATTGTCTTTACCTCAATGTATTTGCTCCTCCTCAGGTATTATTATTTTCCATCTGAAAAAATATCAATCAGCTAAATGATCGATTTCTGTTACACGCATATCTGCAATTAACAACCATTATTGTAATGATCATTTGCGCCTAAATTATTTTTCTTTGAAATGCAATCATCGTTAATTTTATATCCTTCTCAAAATGTGTTGTGACTATAATCGATTAAGTTTAATGTATTTAAAACTCAGCATATTTATTTGAACTCATCTAACCAGTATACATAAGTTATTACACTCAGGAAGAGTTGAAATCAATGACCTGATTAGATTAGTTATCTGATTATGTTGAACAGAATACGTTTAATCTAGACAAAATTTATTATCAATGAATTTCTATTTAACAGTTATTACCGAAAATCATCAAATTTTAAAAATGAAAACAGCTAAATGAGAGTTTACGAAAAAAAGCGCAAATTAATGAAAATTAAAGTAATTTCAAAAATTAAAGTTAAAATTAGACAGTAAAGCATAGTGACATTTTTTGAATATGCTACGGTTGAAAAGGATGAAGTGATAGATGATAAAAATCAATAAGATTTATGATAACAAATTATTTTCCAATTACAAAAATATGTTCAAAGGAAAATAGCAAAAAAATTACAAAAAAAAAGATTTGAAAATGCTTTAGAAGAGAGAGACACATTAAATTTTCCACAATGACATTAAACAAACTTTAATAAAAAAAATAGAAAGATGGAAAACTTTTGGTATTTCGGAGTAATTCAGCTTCCGTTTTCACTTATCATTTATGAAAACTTTTACTGTCGATATTTTTGGGCAAACTTAATGAATTTCATTCTTCTTTCAAATTAAATGGTTGCAAAAGTTTTTATGATAATTTTTAAAATTTTATAAAATACATAAAGAGCGCTACATTTTCTCGTTTTCTTTTTCTTATCTGAATGTATGAAAAAATCTTTTGAACTAGAAATGTTCTGACAAAAAAAAAGAAAATGATATTGCTGTTTTTAGTTTACTAATGATACATACCCAGTGATCGTTTACATACATGGTGGAGAATTTCAATCAGGTTCCGGTTCTGATTTCTCGCAAGAAGCAATTCTTATCAATTTTGTTTCACGTAAAATTGTTTTTATAACGATAAATTATCGACTTGGTCCACTTGGTTAGTGTGCTTTTTTGAAATCAATTCACTTAATCCTTTCTTACCAGCGGTCAGTTCCCGTGCGCGAAGAAACTGTACGCGTCGCTTTTTTTAACTCATTATGTTTCGTAATTATAGCAATAGAATGAAGATCAATTTATTTTTAAATTAGCAATCTGAATGTTCTAAATATTTTAGTTTTTTTGAGGTGCTAAAGAACCAAATTGTGTGCTGTTTTGCACTAAAGAAATATTTCAATTAAATGGAATACGAATTATTTTATTTCATTCTGGTTATTGTTTCGTTTTGTTGGATTGTAAAGTTGTAATTTTATATTAAATGTTTTTTTTCTAGGTTTTATATCGACGGGAGATGGAGTAATACCAGGAAACAATGGTCTTTGGGATCAAATTTTAGCTCTCAAATGGGTCAAAGTATAATTTTAAATCATAAAATTTTTAAAGCTTGAAAAAAGTATAAAATAAATTTTTTCCATTTTGTATTATAATTTAATTTTTCTGGTGAATAAGGAAAAATAAATGAATTCAACAGTTGAAATTTTCAAAGATCACGCTAATATAATGTATTTGCCATCATAACAGAATTTTTGCTTCAATTATTATATTTTCAGTAATCAAATGTGCTATGAAACCAAAAAAAAGAATAGAAAATACCAAAATTTTTTGGTTTATTAAAATGTTTACTTAAATAATTTATTACGAAAAGCGAGAATTTAAAATTTAAATGTTGTAGTTAAATGCTCGAGCATTTGGTGGTGATCCTGAAAATGTACTGTTAATGGGACATGGTAGTGGTGCTGCCAGTGTTTCCCTTTTGGCGTTATCACCTCGTGCAGAGGGTAAATTTTAAACCTAAAAATTAACAATATTGTAATTAGAAAAATCTGGGAACACTATTTAAAGTCATAAAATTTTACTATGTATCATTTTTGAATTTTTAATTTTAATATTGATAAATGGTTTTGATAGTTTCTAATAAAAAATTGAATAACACAACACACTTATTTCTTTGCCAAAAATATAAAGTAAATACTGTTTAGGTTTGTTTCAAAGAATTACTTTGCTAAGTGGAACAGCCTTATCACCAGGTGTTGTCCGTGATACTGCCATTAATGCTACATGGATTCTTGATCGAAAATTACACTGCCGTTCTTTCAATTCTAGCGAACTTTTGGAGTGCTTCAAAAAGCAACTTAAAGATGAAATTCTCGATATCTCTGCAAGTGCTTTAATCTGCTTACAAAATTAATACATTTTATTGTTAAACTGCTAACATTTTTGTTTAATAATAGCTAATTTATCATGTTTTCGTGGTTTTTTTTAAACGAAATTTTATCCATTTTTATTTCGGTAATTGTAGAGGATACAGTACGATGATTACCAGGAATTTGTGCCAATAATAGATGGTATCGGTGGTGTATTGCCGGAATCACCGGAAATGCTTGCAACATACAGGCGAAAAATACCAATGATGATTGGTACAACCAGAGATGAAAGTTCACTAAAAATTTGTTCGTTTTTTACAATATGCTAATTGCTATAGTTTATTAAAATCTATTAATTTCAACAAGTCAATTAATTTTAATATCTCAAAATTTCTTCCATTCCTGCAAAATTCATCTTTAAATTGTTCCATTCTAAGAAATACGATTTTTTAATGAAAATTATTTCTAATTTCAGTAATTTTGAATGAAAAAAATCTAAATATGAATGTGCTAACACAAACTGTAGCAGAAGAAATGGCTGAAAATTTAACGCTTTCATATTCCGGTTTTACAAATCATCGTTTAATAATGGAAGGTTGTAAGTATGAATATATTTGGTCGAAGATCAATCCAGCTATGGATCCAACAGTATTAAACGATGCCGTGCTAAATGTTTGTTAAATTTATCAATTTTAACTTTTCTATTAAATCTATCTTCAGATAGCATTAGTGAATGAGAGCGAATATTAGAATTATCAAAAGGTGGCATATTTTTAATCGTAAATTAAATAGACAAAATCATAGCAATCGAATAAAAGGCTTATTTAATTGATCACTTTTAAAGAAAAAATATCTCTAATATCCTAATGATATACATTTTCAATTGCTTTATCATCGTATTTAAATTTTTATATGTAAATTTTTAGCACCTTATAACGATAAACTTCCAGTAAGAATAATTGTGAATGATAGATCAGACATTAAATATTATTGAATCATAACAGTTAGCTGCTCAATTCTCCAATTTTTTAGAATCATGAATTAACTATTTGAAGTTTGCAGATGTATTCGCATTTTTGGTATGATGCGCCAGCTTCACGACTTGCGACACATTATGCGAAAGGCGGTGCACCTGTTTATTTGTATTCTCTTGATCATATCAGTGAAAATTTTGATTATGGCAGTATGTTTCATTTTTACCCACTCTTGAAATATTAAATTATTCAATGAAATACTACGTTTAATATTGCTTCATTATATAAAAATTGAAAGATAAATATTATTGTACAAAAAAGTTTGTAATTAAAAAGAAAAAATCCGCAAGGCTAAGACATCTAATACTTCCACTTTATTAGAAATATTTTTTTTTATCAGTTATCATTTTATTTCTTACGTAAAATGATGCGAATTCCAGAAGTATAGAAGGGTTAATAACAAATTGTAATTTTGTACCTTTTTTTCGTACAGGAGCCTTCCATGGCTGTGATGAAATATTCCTGTTTGATGTTGAACCGAGATTTCTTGTCAAGAGACGTGACCGAAATTGGCAGTTGGATCGGAGACTAACAGAAATTTTTGCCGAACTCATCATTAATTTTGCTCGAACAGGGTAAGATCCTAAAAATAACTTTTCAAATTCTTAAAGATCATTTGGACAGCTATGTAAATAATTGCTAATATTCTTTGTTTGAAATGAATTTCTCCATTAAATGATATTTTATTTATAATAAGAAAATTAATTAAATTAATCAATTGTTTTTTTATTATACACAACAAAAAAGCACCTTTTAATTTTGTTTAACTAAATTACATCATAAGGTAATACTATATCTGTCTTTTTTTAAATATCATAGAAGTACTTCAACAAATTCCAATCTCTTCTTGATGGCAGCTGACAATTTTTATATCATTCTTTTATTTCAAGCATTTTCTTGAAATCTTTTTTTTCGCAAATCATTTATTTCTCACTTTTATTTTATCACGTAAAAAAAATAAAAAGAATAGAACAACAAGTTTTTCTTCTTCCTTTTTTTTTGAATATATTTCCTTTAATTGCATACTATGAAACAATTCTTTCTTGTCTTTTCCTTTAAGATATTCTATTAATTACGATACTTTTAAAAATTCAACTATTATATTTTACTGAAATCAATAAAAATTCTTATGCTTGTTCTTATTAAAAAAAATTTTTTTACGCCAAAGAAAAAATAGAAGGAAGAGAGTATTACCTTCAGTGATTTCTTCGAAATTTATTGTTCGTTCCTTTTTTTTTAAATTTTTAAAAAATTGTACACATGTTACTGTAGGAATCCCACACCGAAATCATCTGGATTTTCGTTTAACTGGACTGCAATGAAAGTGGATAAATTAAATTATCTGTCAATAACGGACATTCCTGAAATGAATGTTGGCTTCCGATGGCAAGGTCACGTTTTCTGGAATTGGTATGCACGTCATTTAGATGCTGTTGATGTTGGAAATTTGCATCGTATCGCCCAACTGGACAAACAACTTGGCGACTATCAAGTTTGTTCCGAAATTATTTACACCTATTTAATTTGACCAATCAACAATTATTTAGCTGTCAGGTTGAGATTTTAAGCTTTCATTTAATTCTACGACCTTTTCATATCCGTACTGTTTTTTATAAGATGGATGAATGGAATTAAGTGAACAAAGATGAAGAATGGATTCTGAGAATTGTTCTTGTTGGAATTCAAAATAAATCAATCTTTTTAAATTTAGTTTTTCATTTTGATTTGAATTTTCAGTTAGCAACTTGGATGCTTCTATTTTGCGCCCTCTTTTTCTTTGCAATATTAGTTGGCTTAGCATGCTATTGCACTCGGAAAGAAGCTGACGATGAAGATTTATAGTCTGTCCAATTGCGTAATTTGTTTCCAAAAAACCACCACTATCGCAGGCTTATTAAAACTAATGCTCCAAAATGTTTTTTAAATTAGAATTTAGCACGTATTATCGCTAATTAAACCTGATAAAACTTGAATTGAAGTCATATTGATAAACTAAAAATGTCAGAAATGATTATCAGTATTATCAAATAGTTCTTGACGAAAATATAAACGTTATCAGTACTTAGAAATTTAGCTCATTTATAATTTTGTTGTTAATTTTCCATTACTATTCGATATATTCAGTAATGGTAACGTCTGGATCAGATTTTAAGGCGTTTAAATAAAAATAGCAAAAGCATATTTTTTTAGTGTTAAACGATCAAGCAAGAATAATGCACTTTTATTTGTATCGTTTTTATATTCTCTTCATTAGATTATCAATATTGTCAATTTTATATTAATTAGCATTCATTCATACTAATTAGTAATTAATTGTTGCTACTAAGTATTAATACTAATTTATTAACATTAATTAGCAATCCATTGATATTACTAATCAGTACTTAGAAATTTAGCTCATTTATAATTTTGTTGTCAATTTAGCTATGCATAAGATAAACGATATACTGCAAAAATTTGATATTGTTCTTTTTTACTGGATTAAATTTAAATCTGCAAAATGTATTTATATAATATTGCAATATCTTCTTTTTAGCTTTCAGTTTTTATTCGTGAAATATTCGTTTATATTTCTAATTATTTAATAATTCCTATTTAGTTAAAAAAATATTTTACACGTTTTTTTTCTGCTAGCTTCTGGAACCATCTTTTAGTCATTCCGCAATCTCTTATTACTCCCTTATTTCTTTACATAATTTCCAATTTTCTATGTTTTGAAACAAAGCGGTAAATGTTACATTATTTTTGCTCAGAACAGCAAAATCCAAAAAACGGGTTTTCTCAATTTTTTTAAAATTTCTTATAATCCTTATTAAGATATGCTTAATGTTTCATTTATCACTTCATAATCTTTTTAAACAATTTAAATTGCGCATTCCATCTATAACTAATGACCATGAATTTTAAATAAGTCATTTTTATTGCCTAAAAGTATAGATACAATACTTTTTCAAACAATTTTAATTTAAAGCTTTCAATTTATCCGTGTATTAAATATGTGCCACACCCTAAAATGATGAAATTACCAATTAATTCAAAATTTAAATATAAGTGATTTTTAAGTTTTTAATACCTTTCACGTGCATTAATCGTGCATGAACTTTTTCCATCAAATATTTGTTTCTATTCACCTATTATTAATTTATTTTTTCGAAAAGAAAAATAAACAAACATTTTTTTCTAATTCTTTGCAAATTCTATATTTCATTCTCTTTCCATCATATCTACACTGAATTTTTCGTGCAGAACGAGAATTTTCAATCAAATGATGAAGTAAAAATACAATTAAAATCGAAGAAAGGGAGAAAAAAAAGAATTTGGAAGGATTACAGAAAATTATCAGAAAGATGGAAAATGATAAATATTAATGCTATAGATATAATAAGTTCTACAACCGTTTTATCTCAACAATTATCAAACATGGAAAGGGAATCAATTGAAAATGAGTGTTATGTTAGCAGTAAGTAAAGTAGGACTATTCTTGATGAAATTGGTTCGAAGAAATGAAGAAATAAGGAGTAGCCATTAACAATGATTACTGGAGAAGGATAGAGGAACTAATTAAGCATAAGCTGAAATCATATTTTTGATATGCTAAAAATTGTAGCATTTAGTATAGTTATAGCTGTAACTACACTAAATGCTGCAATTTAAAAACAAAAAAAGATTAATAAGATAAGGAGAGCCTGCGCCTTTTGCAACGAAGATCATCCGTGATAATGAGTGCCAAACCTGTTACATTTTAGACCAAAGAATGGAACAACTGAAAGGAGAATGATATTCGTCTAAACTGTCTCTAATCAAGACATGCGACAAACTGTTGCAAAAGAAAAGAAGCACTTATGTCAACACTGTAAAGATGCTTACAATACTGCGCTATCCATTGGACTAATCAAAGAGAAAATAAATTTGATAAAATCAATGCAGCAAAAAATTAATGAATCGACGAGATAGGGAAATTTTACTCCTTTTGTAAAGAGATTATGATAGTTAATTTGAATATACTTGGGATTGCAAAAGAAATTGTAATTCTGTTTGACAGTGATTCGCAAATAAATTACATACTGAAGAAATCGATTGAAGTTAGAAGTTGACTGCAAAAGAAGCTAATAAATGGAGCAAAACTGCATTGTTTCCATAAATTGGAAAGGTGATATCGTTTGAGAGTTCGAACGTTACACATAAAAGGTATATTTAAGGTGTTGCAGAAATCTCATTGAATTCGACGTGTTGGTGTAAAAAAAAGCAACGCAAATAGGTGTAGCAAAAATAGATTGTCTTGTTGGTATGTGTATGTGTGTTTGTGTATGTGTATGTGTGTTTGTGTATGTGT